AAATGGGGAGAAGATGAAGCAGATCTAGCCGGTAATCACGGAAGCGAAGCATTCACTGAATCTCCAACCCACCGGCGACAGGTTGAGCGACGTGCGGCGTGTGGCGTTCGTCGTTCGTGATGAAGAAGGAGAACAAAAACAGATCTACAATCGGAAATCCATTGTTTTTTTTTTTTTAGTTTAAACTTAGGTGTATCGGTCATATTTCGTTGTGCCGGCCGGTACACAAAATTCTGGCCGGTACATTGGATTTTGACCGGAATGGTCGGATTTTGACCGAAACGAAATTTGATGTTGTACCGTTTCGGTCAAGTGTTAAACCGGTACGTACCGACCATACCGGCCGGTACGGTACGAGATTGACTTCTTTGATTTAAACCTTTGAAAATACTCGGTTGAAATGCATGTATTTTCTGTAAATTCAATTACATTTTATTTAGATAAAAACAAACAATGATATTAAATTTCAACCTCCCAAATTCAAATACATTATTTCAAATTCACGTTACCAAACAGACTAAAAAGGAATTTGTCTTAAGATATGTAAAAAGTAAAAATTAGTCAAAAAAATCCCTAGACGTAAATATCCTAAAAATTAATAATAATAACAATAAAACTTTTACCAAACTTAAATAGTGGTCAGGTAGTTTCTAGAATAATATTCAAGCCCTAAACTAAGTTCATCTTTGCGGTTTAATTCAAGGCAAATGATCATATACAAACTAGAACTTTGACTGAAAAATTCTCTCTTTTTTAATTTCTTTTGAGCCAAACAAGTGTTTTTTCTTTTTAGACGGTAACATATCTTTAGACAAGTTATTTAACACATTAAGATTAATTTTTTTTTCCTAACAATCTAAAGGAAGCCACCTCACATTAGGTGCAACCTCCGTAAGGTTAAGACTTAAACCTTGAACATTGTCTATAAAACAATACTTAATCACTGCTAAAATGACAAAAACTGTATCATTTCATTAGAATGAATATTGAATATGCTTGAAAGTGTTCATTAAAACTTTTAATGTCACGAAAGAAAACAACCCTCTCTCGTGTCCTCTTAATTATATTAGTTCATGTGCTTTTTTAATATTAATTATTATTAACAATTAATCGCAAATCAATTAATCAATGGATGGCCAAAAACTTACAGTACTATAGCAAGGGCAATAATGTAATTTAAAATAAAAATCGTAAAAACAACTCGAATCAATATTTATTTTCTCCATGATTAACAATTTGTGCTTAGGCTTATAAGTTAAGGGCGAATTTATCATTAGAAAAAAGGAAAAAAAAAGTGAATTTACCACACACCCCTAGAGTCAAAATGTTCCATCCTAATTAACTTTTTTTTTTTGACAAGGTAATAGTTAAGAAATTAGTTTGAATTAATTGTTAGTAATTGGGGATTCGAACCCAAAGTGGGTGAACATTCCACCCTTTCAAATGAGGCATGTAATCATCGGATCGCTTTTTAGTAAAATTTATAATGATGGTAGAGTTCAAAATTTTGACCACCTCACCTAAATATTTAAAGTTTAGGATTGAACTATTGGAATCGAGGCCCGGTTCCCATCCTAACTAACTAAATCTCTCTATG